AAATTTATATTGTAAAAATACACACTGCAGTTATTCATAGATAAATAAAAAAATATATTGTACCCTAACATCCAATCACAGCGCTCCTATGTTGACTTCCTTCACCTGCCTTGGGTACACAAAAGGCCAACCTAATACCGGGAAAATGTAATAGTACCGTTTTCCCTTTGAAATCACACATATATTTTATATATATACATAGGTACTTGGGGACAGGAAAATTATTATACTATGAACATACATATACTATAAATAAAGTGTATTTGCTTTTTATTATCAATTCCAAGTTTACTATCAACGGCGGTCATATAATATTATATAGAGATTATTTTCATAGTATACAGAAAAACGCGTAAAATAATTGAAATTAATAGAAAACATAAAAATAACAGATTTAAAAAAAAAGGGGGGGGGGCTAAAAAAATGTCCAGTCCACAAGTACCTATGACTTTTGTTATCTTTCCTGAAATTATCCAGTCATAAAATCTGTTACAAAAATTCATCCTACAACAGTTTACGTACTTTCAACCACGATCTAAATGCCCGCGATTTCGCGGGTGTGTTCTAGTCGATCTTTAATTTTTAAGGTAGTGATTTTTAGACTGTTAAAATTGTTGGTCTTTTTGTCTTTTTGTTTTTTGATCATGATTATAAGTCGATCTGTCTTTGACTTGTGAGTTTTCATTCTCCCTTTTGTATCTTCTGCCAGGGTTTTGATAATGTATTGTATTGTAATACATGTATCTCACATAGATGCTGCTTCAGTATATTGTTTATGGGTGTAATTAAAAACATTGATATTATATATATATATATAGATGGATATATTACGGTCAAATGTTTCAACCTGCGAGCACAATATAACAGCAGATAAATGGGGAACGTGACCATGGGAAACAGATGATGCCCCCGCTTGCATATAATGTTATAAAGGGACATAACTCAAGAAAGGTAAAAGTGACGCTATCCAAATTCAAACTTGATCTGTGTTTCGTGGTAATAAGCATTGTGTATAAGATTCATAACATTTGGTTGAGGCAAACTTAAGTAAGAGAACGGAAACGAAAAATTCAGCAATGTTTCCATGGTAAAGGGGCATAACTCTAGAACGGTAAAAATGACGCCACCCAAATTCAAACTTTGTCTGAGTTTTGGGGTAATAAGCATTGTGTATTATTTTCATAACATTTGGTTGAAGCAAACTTAAGTTAGAGAACGGAAACAAAAAAATCAGCAATTTTCTCATTTGTTAAGGGCATAACTCTAGAACGGTTGAAGTGACGCCACCAAACTTAAAACTTGATCTGTGTTTTGTGGTAATAACCATTGTGTATAAGTTTCATAACATTTGGATGATGCAAACTGAAGTTAGAGAACGAAAACTAATTATGGGACGTACGGACGTACAAACGGACGGACGTACAGACGGACAAGGGTAAAACTTAATGCTCCCTCCGCCACGGCGGGGGCATACAAAGATCCTGTTTAAATTAAAATGGGAGTTGCATTACACAAGTCTACGCTTCAACATTCAATTTAAATTAACAAAATATAGTGCAACATCATGCATTGCAATTGTCAAAGGAAAAGTATATTTTATTGATTTTAAGAAAAAAATCATGCTTTCTGTTATACATGATGCAAGTTTTATAATACCTTTGAAAAATATGTAAACGTTTGGTTATCTGTAGCAGTATTATTCGTACAGTTCACATAACGTTTATTAATTAAGGTCTTTACTATTACTATCTTGGTCATGATCTTATTGTTTTTCTAATGTTTTTTTTTCTTTTCATTCTTCCAACATTTATTTGAAATGACCTCACACCGTTTCTATTGAAGTAATCAAGACCAAATTTGGACGATCGATAGACCTCATCATGAAGTATGACCAGATGACGCTATTTAGGATTTCATCATCCCCTTAGAAGTTATTTATATTTTATTGTGTTTTTTTTTCGACCTTATTTGGACAATAGATATATCTCATCATGAAGAATTACCAGATGAGGCTGCATAGGATTTTAGCATCCTCTTTAAGAGTTATATCCCCTTGAAACAATTTCTTTTATTTGCATATATCTAAAAAAATGTTACAAATAGAATCGATTTGAAAATGGCAACATGTACAGGAACAGATGGCAATGTTAATAAACATAAAGAATTATTTTGTTATCAACCCTTATAAGAGTTATTTCCCTTGAAATATTATACACAATTTAAAATAATTATATTTCGAGAACCGCAAGTCGTAGAGATATGGGACCTTCACCAAAAATCTGGAGTTCATTTGACCTTTCATTTGCATCCAACGTCAAAGGTCGAAGATAAGAGATAGCTGCATACTCAGCTTATAACATGTTTCTCTCGAACATTTTGTACATAGACTCAAAAAATGTCCGACAATCCGTTAACAAGTTACAACAAGATAATTCCTTGAAGTGTAGTTTTGTGTATATCTTTGAAACGGTAACTATTATCAACCTACTACATGTATCAACTGCAAAAATGAAAAGTATTTTAAGACCTTCAGTTTGAGGTCAATATCATAAGGAAATTCCACCTTGACCTTTTGAACTTTTGTTCCTAAGTTGAATAGTGGTAGTCCTAAGTCTCTACAACTTCCGGTTCTCAAGTTCGGTATAACATCGTATATTTAACAAGAAATGATTGTAACAGACGAAGCTCCCATAATTCGTAATTCCCAGGGTCGCCTGACATCGGACAAAGTCCAGTGAAAATTGGTTTGGTCCAGTAAAGTTATATGCATTAATGATGCCTGGGGACTAACTAAAATCCCATAGGGTTCTATAGTAAAACCCTCTTTTCTTTTTGCCCCTCAAAGTACCCCTTTATAAACCCCATTGCACAAACAAAACCCTGATTGCACCACTAGACATGTTAGTCTAACATATTATGAAACCATAAGTTAATCTGACAAGCGGTTTTGGAGAACGGGTGCGGACAAGTTCAAATTTCTGAAACATTTGATGAAAAACAAAGAAAACTTAGCAGTTTGAAATTTTCATGTTTTACACGGACTTTGTAAGTTGCATAAGTTCTATTTGTATAATTGATATTGCATCATTTTTTGGACTTTGCCAAATAAGGTCATGCAACATATGAAAATGAACATCCAAATGAGCTCGATTCAAAAATGAAAATGTTTAACCCCATGTTTCATCCTAAAAAGAAGGGTGGGGTCACTAAGTGTAAAAATTAATCTTCTAAGATGGTAAGGTTGTCGCATATCAAATGAAAGTTCATAAAGCGTACATTTCAAAAATTAATTTATGTCACCTAAAAATGGTTTGGGTGGGGTCACTGAGTGCAAAAAATGAATTGTCTTCGGAAGTAATGTTTATATCGCATATGAAATGAAAGGATGTAATATGTATATTTCAAATATTAAATTCCTGTTCCCATAAAATGAGTTGGATATGGTTATTACATGTAAGTGCAAAATATCAAACTTGCTAGATGGTGTTGTCGCATATCAAATGAATGGTCATTAAGTCTACATTACAAATATCATACTTCCGATCTCGAAAATTTAGGTGGGTAGGGTCATTAGGTACGAAAAGAGAAAAGTGTAAGTAGGTATGATTGTCGCATATCAAATTATAGTTTGTAAAGAATACAAATTCAAATAACGGACTTTTATGGGGGAAAAAACCCTTTCAATTGTTTTACTATACTAGTTTCGTATTATCTTTTAATCTTGTAATTGTCATTCATAAACACTTGACGGAAATAAAAGCTTGTTTCATCTAATAACGATCAAAACGTGAGAAATGATTAGAAAAATAATAATGGGGATATCGAGTGAAAATCGAGAATAAGTCAGGGATATTGTTCTTAGCAAAGAATTTGATTGACGTATGTAATACTGATAATAACTTAGTCTTGTTCTCATAACAAAACTAAATGTAGCAATCAAGATCTAAAATTGTACTACTTAAAAACATCGTTCATAAACTTAACATGAGGAAAATGGATCTATGTGTAAACATCATGACTCAAATAGTCAGAACAAAACTTGACATATTTTTTTGCAAAAAGATTAAGCATTCGAAATTACATTTCAGTTATCATTTATTACAAGTATTCTGACTTGCTCACATGAATATTATCGGCAAGTGTCCACTCAATGTCGAAGCTACGATTATGAAAAGCGAGGTCCTTTTTTCTTTACAACCGATATAGTTCATAAAATGACCATGCATTAAGGAATCGTATTAGTTTCATCACAATGGGATCCCGAATAAATCTGTAACTGTCATTGATACCATGAAAAAGTATACCCAATTGCATATCTTGATTTAATAGACGCGCAATACCCCCACACTGATGTCCAATATAATACTCCAAATGCCACAGATGTCATTTACAAATATACCACTTGCATCTTGAAGGAAGAGATATACACAAAACCCTACTAAAGATTACATTTTTCTATAGCTACGGTCGAAATCTATCTGCCTCAGCCTGTTCTGTAAAGCAGAACAGTGCATTCAAATTACAAACTTCAACATTTACCAATAAAGGATGGATATTAAGTTTTACATAAATGACTCTTTAGAATACATTGTAAAGATATACTAAAATAGAGTAATAGTTCAGAATACTGAAACAACTGGGAATCACTGTTTTATTTTCATATAAAAATCTCTTTCGCCTTGAAATGAGGAATTGAGATAACTCACGGTCATTGCATACAACTGTACAATTTTTTGAAATATTATAAACCTATTCAGCACTCATTTATTTCAAATAGAATGGATAGTTACTGTAATTGAATGCATATGGTTTGGCAAAAAAAGTCACCGGTCAATATAATTATTTGTGATATTTAAACATTTATTAAAGACAATATTGCTTACATCAGAAATATGAGAAAGAATTGTCTTTAATATATTATAACCTATATAGTATCCAGTCTTTTCAAACTGGAATAATTCGAAACTGAATAGGTTACTCTGTCAAATTTAAGTGTATACCTTTACAAGCTTGAAACGTCGTCCATGGTATCAGATATTCTTTAATCAAATGACATCGTATCTGCGGTTTGGTGTTACAGTTGTTAACTTCACAGTTCAAGAAGACCTCGTAATAAACGCTATGTTTAGCTATAGATGAGTTTTTGCATTGGTAATATTCATTCTGAAATACAAACAAAATAATCACCTGCATATTTTCAGAAAAATACAGATGGCTGTTTTGGAGTTTGGCTGTACCTAAAACCTAATTATAAACGGGCTATCATGATCTTATTTTTACATAGTAATTATATAATTAATAACTTATCCATTCTATGACTTACTCTACGGTGTTTTTGAAGGCCGTGTAGTTGTCTACATAGATGTAGCAATTTTCATCACATTTCTATGCGCTTGCTACTTGCTTAGACAAAAGGCAAACCTTCGTTTGAAATACCGCATTTATTAATGCAAAATCGAAACTAAGTGAGCTTCTCTAGCAATTGAGTGAAAGGAAATACACATACCAGATAACGTGGACGCAGACAACAACAGGTAGATCATTATTATTAAACCTGGTGCCATATACAGTCCGCCAAAAGTTAAGCACCACCTATCTTTGTTGCATCGAAATTTTTGTCATTTAAAAAAACCAGTTAATCCTCGAAAAAGAGAAAATATTCATGTAGCAATTTTGCTAACATATGCCATAAACAAACCATAAACTTAAGTTTGGTCACTGATGCAGGTTCTATGCATTTGAATTTTGCGTTCATAGAAATAGTGAAAATTACACAAATCAGAAACGGAATTTAAGTTTTACTTTGATTTTATTTTTTTACAACAATTAATCACCCAAAATCAGTAAAAGTCTCTACAAATAATCTTTGGTATATTTGGCAAATTTAATGTCAATATTTAAGTCAATAGGATGTGAAACCACCTCTCTTTCGGTACAGTTCCATAACACGGCGTCTCATACTCTGTACAAGCCTTCTGAACTTTAGTTGAGCAAATTTATTCCATTCATCAACAATTGCCCCTCTTAAATCGCCAAGATTTTGCAAAGGTGAATCTCTGCGATTGAGATTTCTGCCAATGGCATCTCAGACATGTTAGATAGGGTTCAGGTCTGGAGACATGGAAGGCCAAAAGATAGTGTCAATGGCTTCTTGATCTTTGTAATCGGTTACAATCCTTGCCCTGTGTGGTCTAGCGTTGTCGTCCATGTACGAGGGTATTGACGCAAGTCGGGGATTCTCAAAATGAGGGACTACAATGTTTCTAAGCACCGAATCCCTGTATGTCTGTCTGTTCATGTTACCCTGCAAAATATGCATACCCAGTTTACAACAGTATGAGAAGAACCCCATACTGTAACACCACCATCAACGATTGCTGTCGTTGGGCAATTGTTGTTTTGGTGATAGGCAGTTTTATTTCCCCGCCAAACTCGTATTCTGCCGTCTATTGGTCGTAACAGAAACCAACTCTCATCTGACCAATGAATATTTTGCCAGGTTCTCATGTTCCATCGTCGATGGTCATTAGCCCTTTGAAACCTGCTTATACGGTGCCTGGCTGTTAGGGTACGTCTTTTGACAACACGACGTGCTCTTAGGTAGCTTCTATGAAGTCGACGGACCAATGTTCGAACACTAACACGACCACCTGGAGGCCAGTGGTGTCTAAGCTATGAGGCAGGAGTAAATGGGTTGGCTTTAGCACGACCAATAAGTAGTCTGTCATCACGATAGGTAGTTAAACGGGGTCTTCCGGACCTTGGTCTATCATTTACAGTTCCTGTGTCAATATGACGTTGTAAAAATCTGACAATGACGGTGCGATTAACATTGAAATGGTTACCAATGCTCCCAGTGCTCCTACCGGCATTTGCCATGTCAATTGCTTGTCAACGTTCAGTCACAGATAACTTACCGCTTACCATATTTCACAGTGACTTGGTGAAGGTCAAATTTCACCTGTACGCGGGATAGTAGGAAGATGATTTAAAGGCATCGAAACAGTGTATTTGTAAAGGTGCAGATGACCTTTAATAAAAGGTTGCTTGGCGGGTATATCGGAGTTTATTTTTTTTGGTCGTAATGAACTTTCTTAGTGTATGCTATAGGCAATTAATAACACCAAACATAAATATTCTTTTCGCAAGAGTTAAAAAAATATTGACAGTTATATTTAGGTGGTGCTTAACTTTTGGTGGACTAGTTATATCAAGAGACTCAGAAAACTGCAAAGGACATTTCTTATACATGCACCGATGAAGAGAACATACACGTTTCCGGCAAACAAAGACTAGGTTAGTATAGAATCTAAAAATGTATCATACCGAAAAACCTACCGATATAAAGTTTTGTATATGAAATATCAATACACTTTGACAAGTAGTTGCGATAAAGATGCAACAAAAGTTAATAATATTCTTAAACGTGCATCGATATGTAAGAAAATATATGTATGAGACAAAAAAAAAGAAGTAGATATTTAACGAATCCGAGAAAGTGTCATACGGTGAAGTTTACCAATATTCAACTTGGTACCAAATTACGTTCAACAAAATGGTCAGCATTTGCAGTATCTGCGAAGTGTTCGACGACAACTTCTTTTATCTGTAGCATTTATTCAAAAGAATACTTTTCATGACCCATTCCCGCAATGTCCGTGTTTGTAATGACGTTTTGTGATTTAAAAAAACGTAATCTACTTAGAACCAGTGACTTATTAAGTCAGTGATTTCGTTACAACAATTTTTTTTTGGTCATAGACAGATATTTGGTAAGGAAGATTGGGTGTATCCGTAGAAATATATTAACACACGAAATATCACATCCTCATTACTATGATGATGTTTGAAAAGATCGTAAATTAAGATACAATCTGATTCCATATATACATACAACATGCATTGGACCAAATTTGGTACGAAGAGAAGTTCTGAAAGTTAGGGTCTCGAATAAAGCTTTTCGAAGAACTGACAACTGATTCTTTTCCTCAGGGCACATGATATTTGTCGATTTTCCACATGATGAAGGGGTGCAGCTCGGAACCCTGGAAAAAGTCAATCGCAATTTGTTGTTGGTGTATTCTGATTGTGTCGTTAAATATCAAATTATTTCGTTTAACATGTTTGAGAATACAATTGAAATTATTCAGAAACTTCTTTGTCTATATTTCACATTACAAAGGGATATTTTGTTAAAGAAATTGAATCCAATCCTACTCTATAAATCTACTAACTATGAAATTAAAACAAATCTTAAATTAACGGTAATGCAGCTTTTTGTGTGACCTATTAGTTTATAGTTAAATTACAATGTATGTTGTGTTTTTTTTTATCAGGTATCAAATAAAAATGCTAAACATGACTCAATAATGAATTCAAAAGATTGGTGCACATCTTGGTTAATCATTAAAAAGCTGAAAGACATTGCGGGTATGTTCATTGATCTCGACTAACCATGTTAGTCTCGCACACTCAGTTATTAAGACAAATACAATGCACTCACTCTAAACCAAATTTTATTTACTGAACAATTTATTAAATATACCTTCTCCGTAACATATCATTCATGTTCGACATCTTTGAAAACCATCTTTTTAAACTTTTACTTACCTCTAATTTAATTAGTTATTATGATTTTTAATTATTGTGTAGTATTTCATTCACGTACCAAACTGTTTTTGTATTATTATCTATTGATTTAGCCAACTTTTTAAGCAAGGCTCACGTTTATTTCTGTATTAAAATTTAGGTAGAGTTTACCTTCATAATATTAACCATGACAGTATAACAAGTTTGTTATTAAGCCAAAGAAAATATATGTACAAAGTATGCAATCATGTAAACTTAACATACTTACTTCTAATTCTAGAGTACAATTTGGCAATGGAAAAACTTTGGCGAAATGAAGATGAATATATATGTCTCCACTGCTAGAAGTGTTATACACAAGATTTGTTGTTTCAATAGTGGAAGGATCTGCAATGAAATAAAAGTCGTGTATAATGAAAAGTGTAATGTGTATGTGACCTCGTGTTAAAAAAATACAACATTCGTAGCTGTGCCAAAGCCTGTTATCTTATTTTAAATAGACGTAGAAATGTTTTATACTGTAAATAATATACTTATATATATATATATATATATATATATGTTTTATAATAGACTAATTTTCTATAATTTTTTAATCATTATGTTATACTCTCTTATAATTCTGTAAAGAATGGTTCTCATTTTTATATCTATATGTTTTTAAACTAAGTGAAATGTTGTATTATATATTATTGAGAGATAAGACTTATATAAAATATTGAATTGAATTGAATTGGATATAATTTAGTTGAAGTTAAACTACAGAAAGGTAGAGCTTTCTTTTATAGATGGGAAAAAAAGAGATAAAAGTGAGAAATTCGATTGTTTTCATTTGTTTCCAAATTAGTTGTAGCCTTACGATATTAAACGCTTTCATATTATACATGCAGGTACACTTATTAACACACAGATGTACTTGTATGAAGTGTGGAGCTACTATTTAGATATACTCTTAATACACGAACATGTTGGGTATACGCCAAACAAAAGGAAGATTGAAACTCATTGACACAAAAATCAAAATGACACCAAGAGGTCAACATGCAACATACGGTCTTCAACAAGGAGCAATCATCTGTTGATCTCTTTTGTGAACAAATTTTACAGACGCTTTCACAGATCTACAAATCATACAAAATTCCCTACATTGTATAATGAAGAAAAAATTAAAATAACAAAAATATCGAGCTCCGAGGAAAATTCAAAACACACCACAAAGGACAGTCGCTGATTGGGGACAGGTACATAACATGTAGCGGGGTAACACATGTTTTTTTTTTAATCTGAACACCTCTTTTTTTTTCTTTTTTTTTCTGAAATAGTGTTATAACAAAAGTTAACAAAATAAAGTACAATAAAAACCAATACAGAAACAAAATCAACCGTACGGTATAGTAGATATTAACCCCGCCACATTCTTTCTGTGTCTGTCCAAAGTCAGTGGTTGTCGTTGGTTTCAGTCGAAAAGATTCACGTTTTGTCATGTCGGCGCCTTTTATGTCTGACTATACGGTATAGGTTTTTCTAATTATTGAAGGCTGTATGGTGATCTCTACTTGCGTACATCTACTTAATTTGGATACATATGAATACTCGCAGTTACGGAAAGAAAGTTACTGAAATAATGCATCTCGCCTTGTCATACTCTAATGTCGGTGGCTGTACTCCGGAATATATTTAGTACGTGAAACTGTGAAAGTCATAGTTTAATCTTGTTTTAAACTATAAATTACAGAATTAATGATCGACTCTAAATCATTCCAGACGCAATTGTAAACATCGACGAACGCTAGGCCAATGCATCACGGCATTTTTCAGCTAGATACATGAACCGTTTTCTATCAGCGAAGGCCCAGGTTGGAGAATTTCCTCAAATTTCTGGGCCTTCCGACACAAAATTATTCTACAACAAAGCCTTTCACAGGCGTAAGCCAGACACATACGGAAAAAATACATGTATGTCCCTGCGACGAACGAGTCTGTTTAAGGAATGCATACATTGGGAAATGTTAGAAAAAGGGTATTGATATGTATATTTGGATTTACTTGTGAAAAATTAAAAAAATATTTGTCTTTCTTTAATATTACATACTTCTCCGTTCATCAACCTCCAGAGATGTAGAATGCTTATAGGGTCCTTTTTCAAGAAGGAATTAGAACTGAGGACAAGGGACCCCTAATTTGTTTATATTTATATGAATAGATTGTTTTTGATTTCATACCTCCTTGGATATGTTTTCATTTTTCTTCTTTTTTTTTCGAGGGGAGGGGGAGGTATGTTTATTATGTATTATGTCACACATCTGTACATGATTTATATGACAATGAAGTATTGAATTAAAGCAGGTGCAATTGTAGTTTCAATGAGATGTGACGTGCTTGATATCAAGCTGTATTCAAATGTGACAGCTGCAAAGTTTCATAAGAGTCTTATATCAACAGATATTACGTTTTGTTTGGATACCTTTAAAGATAAATATCACTTTAAATGCACAACAACACTTGATGAAAGGTGTAATGGTGTACTGATTATTGAGGTCCACTTCATATTCACATACTAGTCAATAATACTTCAATCAGCCAAAACAGTTTAATATTTTTTGTCGTAAAAAGCATAATATTCAACATTGAACGTTTGTAAGAAACATTATTACGTTACAGAACTTGAATATATAATAAAGAAGAACAGAAATAATGGTCGTGTTGATATTGTTAGCATGTTTTTATTTCCATTAACCAATGCCAGGAAGGGTGTGTGGGGGGGGGGGGGGGGGGGGGTGCAAATGTAAATACGCACTTTCAAAAATAGAATCTAAATAAATGTAGTATAGTAGAAAAGTTTTTTAAATAATCAAATTATTTTAATATTTATCAATATATATTTTAGTTTTTTCATCCATCCAGTAGAGAGACTGTCGATCAACTAAATAAAATATTTTCCCGATAGGGTTATATTTAAAAAAAAAAGAACGTACTTACATTCGAAGTTCTCTGCATTTATTTGTAACTTTTTCGATAAAGTGTCGAAGTTATACCGGCATTGATAATTAGATGTCAAATCTGACTCTGTGAGGTTTCTGATCAACAGCTTAAACTGGTTATGCCTGGTTAATATTTCCTTATATTTTGATGGTTTATCCAAATGGCCATTGTATACAATTGATTCTGTCCCCTTCGACCATTGGCGTGTCAGGTTATGGTCAATAGTATGTACACCAAGGACGGTACATGTCAAAGTCACTGGTTCGCCGATTCTCATTATACCTGGTTCACGTTAACATGTTACTGCAATAAATATACATGTATATGCATTAGTATGTACAATATTTTGTAATAATTGTGGAAAGGGGTTATTGATCAGACACATATTCGTATTATAAAATCCGTTCATAGTGGCTCGGTTTTTTTTGGTACAGGATCTCGATATTTTATGTTTTATAATTTGCTCTGAATATTCGACGTTCTATTTCTAAACACATACCTAACAATACTATTTTATTAGTATTGATGTCCTGTGGTCTCGTTCATAAAACTTTACTCAGTACTTGGGGTACAAAATGTGTGCTCGAAATACCAAATCCAGTATTTTGATTGGTTGATTTCTGAGTCTGAGTACTATAATCGTGCTCGAAATTTTTATGACCGCAAGGCCTGACTGGATTTGGTGTTTCAAGCACAATTTTTGTACTCCGAGTACTGAGTACAGTTTTATGACCGAGAGCCCAGGTCTCGGTAAAAAAAACTTTACTCAGTACTATATCCGACGTATATTGTAATCATTTCGTGAAGATACAAGCGAAAAGTGCCAATTTGATAAGTACTAAAAAAATTTGATTTCATGCGATATTGGCAATTGAGTTGGTATTTGTTTTTTCTGGTTTTTCTGCCAAAACCTGAATTCTATACTGATAATTGATAACACTTTTATATAAGAATTGAAGTTATGCGACCCAATATAATTCACATTTAATGGAGACATTTTACTACGTGTTTGATGCTCTCCGTGGAAGTATTACAACATTGCAAAGCAATATTATGTGAAAATAAAATGCAATAAAAAACCTCCTGGGCGCAGCTTGAAACGACCGCAGTGGTCAAACCCTGAACAGTTGGGGCAAGTATGGACACTACATTCAAGCTTAATACAGCTCTGAATTTGGATTTTGATTAAATATTTGACACAGAATATGTTTCTGACAGAGAATGAATGCGGTCTAAGAACTTAAAAGTTTGAAATTGGACATTTACCTATTATGGTCCAATATACAAAATCTAAATTCATGGTCAGATTCAAAGATCCAAAGAATTCAATTTCTGTTGAAATCAGACAAAGTTTAATTTTTGACTCTTTGGACCTTAATGTTGACCAATTTGAAAACGGGCCCCAAAATTTAAAATCTAAACACATGGTTAGATTAGGCATATCAAAACACCCCAATATTTCAATGTTTTATGAAACCAAACAAAGTTTAATTTTGAACCCTTTGGACCTCAATGTGGACTAATTTAAAAAAGGGGCCCAACATCTAAATCAACGGTTAGATTCAACATATAAAGAATTCAACACTTTGAATTGAACCCCATTGAAATTGGTCTAGAAATTATCCATTAAGTCAAACTTTAAGTATTAGAAACGTATTGTTTTGGCCCCTTCATCCTAAACGGTTAGAGCCATAACCCCCAAAATCAATCCCAATCTTTTTTTTTTTTTGGTATGGAACCTTGTGGTACAATTTCATAGAGATCCATAAACTTATACTTAAGTTATTGTCCGGAAACCAGAAAATCCTAGTTTTTTGGCCCTTTTTGGCCTTTAATTTCTAAACTGTTTGGGCCATAACCCCCAAAATCAATCCCAACCTTCCTTTTGAGGTATGGAACCTTGTTGTATAATTTCATACACTTATACACAAATTATTGTCCTGAAACAAGAAAAATGCTTGTTTTTGGCCCCTCTTTGGTCCCTAATTCCTGAACAGTTTGAACAAAACTACCCACAATCAATCACAATCTTCCTTTTGCGGTATGGAACCTTGTGGTACAATTTCATAAAGATCCATAAACTTCTACTCAAGGTATTGTCTTGAAACCAAATGTCTTCGGACGACGACGACGACGGCGCTGACAACGTCATATCAGTATACGTATAATAAATACTGATAACAGAAATACAAAGAATTTACAAAATGTAAATATCAACTATAAGTAAAGGTAAAGTGTATAAGATTGTAGCGGTTCTTTTGGTGTATTTGATTAATTTGATTAATCACTGTTTGGCAGTTTATTTTTATGTGCCATAAATAAGAATGTTACTGATATACTAGATACAGAAAGTATTTATTTTATAAGAGAGTCCACCGTTTATTCCTGAGCGACTGAACATTGTAAACACAGGGCCCCATGTGAATATGCTTCCCTGGGTTGTACAATGCACATTATATTCAGGATTTTGTTAAATAAATGTATTCATTTCTAAACAAAAACCGAAGAAATAAAAATTGTTTAAAAAAATCAGCTTCATTATATTTATATTCTATTTCCTTTTTCCAATTAAATAGGTTAACTACATGTAGGTGATAAATATAGATCATTCTAAAGGCCTACATTTTGTACATTGATTTCCCATATCAACACTGGTATCATCCCCCGACCAATATCGGAACCTTAGCTGTAGCTGAAGTTACGGGATAATACCAGTACCGATATGAAAATTACTGTGCATTACTCCTTCCAAAGTAAAAAAAAACATCAAAGTTCTAAGAAGCATACGAAATAATAAGGTTAATATCAATTAACTGAGATTGGCTTTTAATGAGGTTACCTGCAAATGTTTTCCACTTTTCCATTTATGTGTTTCTATTATTAACACCCTTGGCTTTTTGTCTGTGCAAAATGCATTAACAATTTTTCTCAGCAATTATCTATATTTCTAAATAAGTCTCAAAAAAAAATTCTGACATTTCATTTGTTTAATTCATATTACTTCTACACAATTTTCGTAAGTTTATCATCCATTTCATCACATCAACATATCTGATTAATTCTAAATGAAGAATAATTTCTTTTGCAATACATGCTTGCGATATGCATCACTAATTATACATTTTGTACGCGCATAACTATATGTGCCAGGCCTTGATACTAGGTGATAAAAAAGTAATATGTACGTATTTACTTCATATAAAAATTACAAGAGGCACATTTTTGCTGTAAAAACAAATCTATTTTATCCAAAAGCTGTGTCAAAAACTTGCATTTCAAAAACAAGCACATGGATTTTTTTTCGTCCATAATTCTAAACTATTCTTTATTCTCTATGGTGAACATTTTTATTTGTTACTATATTATTACAATTGATATTTTGAATTTCAGCATGTTTTGACAAGTTTTATTCATTCCCTACTGTAACAAAATTTCCAATGGTTGAGATAGATTTTCTATAAATTGTTAAATGTTATCCCTGGATCAAATTCTTTATTGTGTACATTTCCATTTTACTGGTGTATTTTTCATTTTTTAATCAAATTTAAAAATTGCTTACGCTCAACCCTGCATAAAACATCGTATCTATTTTCTTGGTCTCACACAAAAATACTTTTATTTTGAATTCATATACTTTCTTATAATCATGACACCATGCAATTGATACCCCTTTTTTCAAGAGATACATGACTTTTTAGTAGCTGTTATTGGCTTTGAACTAGCTTTCAGTAACTGAAAGTACTCTCAGATCTGTATAGTTTATGTCTTTCGTTTTTTTGAATATGCCTATTCCCAAGTGAAGAGCCTGTAATTCATTGGTTGTCGTTTTTTGCTGTATATCATATCTGTTTTTCGTAAATTGTTTGGTAGAATGATACATCTCGTTTGAAGTCTTTACATTTGTCCTCTTGGGGCCTTTTATAGCTTACTAGCGGTATGGGGTTTGCTCGTTGTTGAAAGCCGTACGGTGACCTATAGTTGTAAACTTCTACGTCATTTGGTATTTTGTGGAGAGTTGTCTCATTGGCAATAATACCACATCTTGTTATTTTTTATATAGAAATGGTTGTATACGAACTCAAGCTAAAATGTAACTTTACAAAAACGTAATTATTAATAACGAGTAAAACACAGCAAATACTTACGTGATTCTGAGATAACACTTGATTTAATATTTACGAATAAATATATAGCAATCCAATGTAACAGGCTCATCAACTCCATCTTCTGTAACAAATTAACAGGTAAAAATAAACGTCAATCTGAATATATTTACATTGTGTAATACACTAGTGCATACATCAAAAGACATGTAGCCTTATATCAAAAGAGTTGTTGTCACTAATAATAACAAAACTGACTAACTCTAATAAATTGGTTGGGCTAAGTTCACGAAAGGCCAAAAATGGCCTTGAATTTCAACTTAATCATAAAATTTCAAAATGGCCATAATATAGTTCTTAAATGCATCTTTTTCAAAAGCCTTACTTCTTTGTTAAAATAAATCTCTTCATAAAAGTATAATTTTGGCTTCAAAATCAGCATATTTTGCATATATTGTCAAAATACGATGGTTTTGTGGATTTTTCGGACCTAAAAGCTTGGTAAAACCCTTGGCCGCAACCTAGGATCCAAAATTTTCTGTAACCAAAAGCTATCAATGATGATATTGAATCCCTAGACACGAAAACTTTCTGGATCATGGTACCAAAGTAAATTATGCCTAAAACTGTTAAGAATTATTGAAAATTTGACCAAAACTGCCGTTACAACACAAATAATGCATACTTAAGAAGTCAAAACTTCATCATTTTTAATGTCATGTGCTAAAATGAAGTTATTTTGTATTAATAGTATTATCACAACTATTTCTAGGGGAAACTTGTAGTATTTTGCCCTGATTGAAAATACATCAAAATCCTAGGTCCAATTTTAACCCTTCGTGAACTAGCTCCAAAGTTTGCCAGATATTACCGAAAGTGTCATGATTGAAAGATCATAAAACCTATATATTATAAGTTCATTTAATGATTTTTCGTTGCAAAACAATTTCGGATTTTGTTTTTGTCATTAAACCAAATTTTTAATTATTATTCAACGCTTTACGACTCAAAATAGGTCAATGACTATGGTTATAAGTTAAACATATTCATATGTACATTGTATTACCAAATTTTCAATTTTATGCACACACACAAAAGAAAACGTCATACTCAGAGTCGACTAGGACATGTACTCCCTTTTTTTCTTTCTCTTTCTTTTCTTTTTGTTTTGTTTATTGTTTTTGGTAAATATTCTTTCATATTTACAAATTGACTTATTTTCACATAGTTGATGTGTTCTTGCTCGTATCCTACGACATTACAATAACAGTTGTTTATATGCTGCCACTATAATCCATTTTTCAACGTAAAGAATTGTGTGGTAACATATACATAAATCGTGCTTAAAAACACTTGTATTCCATGTTTAGTTCTAAACGTGTCTAGGATTATGTTTAATATATAAACACGTTTCTAAGTAAATATAAAAATAAGAAGATGTGGTATGATTGCCAATGAGACAACTCTCCACAAGAGACCAAATGACACCGAAATTAACAACTATAGGTCATCGTACGGCCTTCAACAATGAGCAAAGCCCACACCGAAAGTCAGCTATAAATGGCCCCGAAATGACAAATGTAAAACAATTCAAACGAGAGAACAAACGGCCTAATTTATGTACAAAATAATGAACGAAAAACAAATAATATGTTACATAGCAACACACGACAACCACTGAATTACAGGCTCCTGACTTGGGACAGGCACATACAAAATGTGGCGGGGTTAAACTAGTTTGTTGGCGCCAAACCCTCCCCTAACCTGGGACAGTGGTGTAATTAAAAAAAAAAAAAAAAAAAAAGCACATTACATGTACACGTCTTGAATATAAACATTTTAATATGTGTTTTAGAATTAAAGTGACTGTGCTTAGAACTAAAACACTAATTACCCAGCTAAATACGACCCTAAACACATTGTCAACTTAAACATGGTTAGAACTGAGACATTTTTAGACCCGACCGTGTAAAAAAGTGCACACAAAAGTGTTCAGGATTGTGTTTAGCATCTAAACACCACGTTTACAGTGTATAAACTGGTATTCTGTCATCTTATTGATAAGAGCAAGTACATATTTAAATTGTGAAAATAAGTTAAAATATTGAACAATATTTACAAAAGAATATTAAACACAAAGAATAATAGATAAGGAGGCAATGCCCAAAAGCGCCTGTGTACACACTGTTTTAGATCCCTTGAACATTTACTGGTTTTATCTATACAATGATCAAAACGATTTTTTATTACCGGTTTTCAATGAGTGTAACAATTATAGATTTCATAAGGAGTGAGAACTTTTGGCAAGTTTATTATTGTTACAATTGAATTAAAGTAACGAGAGTTGATATGAAACGATATCCAATTCTCACACGAGTTGTTTCTCTTATTGAATATATTTTTGTGTGTGAAAAATAAAAATTCTGCGAAATATCGTGCTTGTCTTTTGCACCTCAACAGGTTGCCATCATTAGTCCGCTACTGGTGAAACATGTGAGTGCTTTGCATTTTATTAAAGTAATCACAAATGTCCGTTGCAACGATGTGGGAGGGAAAACAGGGGGAGTAGTCCGTTGTGACCTTTGACATTCATCATTTACTTAACGAAAAGCCAATGGGAATGTCGCAATTACGAGACTCTTTGCAGGATTGCATCCCGTTCAGTGAGATACAAGCAACATATCTTCGTGCATGGAATAGATGACAGGCCACAACCATTTGAATGTAGTACTCATTCCTTGATTACCCGTACCTCATCAATGTTTACAATATCAAGGAACACTTATTCAAACAACCAATCAACCAGTTCTTTCAAAAATTTTCGTTTCTCAGCATACAATCGACACAACAAGCTGTACACTCAGTGTATCTCCATGCAAAGGAAGTGACACGAGCAAGGTGTGTTTTGCGGGATCTGACGATAAATTCGCCTAGTTAGGTTTTATAAAATATCTTATCTTTATAGGATAAGATACGAAAAGATATTTGTATTCCAATCAAAAGGCCCATGGTGAACAAATTAATGTGTTGCAATGATTTTTTATAATCATATATATTACTAATCATTACATTTCATAGACATAAGAATATGTAATAACTAATCCCACGAATGTTGGGAAATACAATCTGATTTTGGAATGCTTCTCGTTTGTTGTCAGCCAATCAAAAGTATAATTCTTATGAAACATACATGCAATAAGAAAATAATTATTTCCCCATGTAAATTCATTCACGAAGACACGTGCTTTCCGTGACAGTTACAACAATGCATAGGAACACATTTGGAAACATTGGTACATGTATGTCTCACAATTTTACTGTATCATGCAATCGACTATACTCCTGGGACCGTGTCAACGAAGCTGTCCAAGGACTAGGACATGTCTTAGGATGGTCTTAGGACACGTCTTATTCCTAAGTCAGGTTAACGAAAGTCTCCTAAAATAAGATATGTCCTATATTTGGTCCTAAAGTTAGGATATATACATAGGTCTAAAAGTTACGATGTCCTAAAACGAAATTAAAACTACAAATATGGCATTAACTCAATAATAAAAATACTAATACAATATTAAACTATTATACCGTTATTAGAATTAAACTAAATAAACAAAATATTTTTCATTATTTGTTAAAGATTCAATTGTGTAACATTATTTTCAATTTGTAGACAATTTGGTCCATAAAATACTTCAATATATCAACAAAGAGCGTTTATAGTACACAGTTTGAACCAAACCAAACGGGGGAATAATAATTTAAATGTGAAAAAGGCTTTCTTTATTTAACTAATCCTGATTAAATACATATAATAAAATCGAGTGGACCAAGGGACAAAACTAGTTTATAAACTAGAATTGCAGCACGAATATCACATTTAACAAAGTTTTGTGACTATTTAGTTTTGTTGTTGTATGAAGTTCATTTATATGTTTTTATCATATTTATCAATTATGTACTTTTGACGAGATCAATACGTTATATAAGGGGGCCGGCCTTCATAGCTTGCTGTTCGGTGTGAGCCAAGGCTCCGTGTTGAAGGCCGTACCTTGACCTATAATGGTTTACTTTTATAAATTGTAACTTGGATGGAGAGTTGTCTCATTGGCACTCATACCACTTCTTCCTATATCTAAATAATGTAATTAGGAAAATGGCGCATGTATTTTTAAATTGTATTTTGCAAAAAAATTAACATGATCTTAAAAATCTCAATATACATAAAACAACTTCATAGCTTGTTGCGTTAGCTTTCTTGTAGTCTCAGCGTCTGCATTTAATATAAAATTTTTGATATCTCCTTCTGACAATTTGCAAATTTCTTTTCGTCTTCTGCGGCGCTTCCTCCATGGTTGTTATGTGTGACGTCATGACGTCATAAGTCTAAATTAAGTAACATTTTCATATTGACCACCAATATACGTATAAATAGAAACATAGCGTCAATATAGGCCTACGTCAAAATAGAAACCAGGCGTAAGATACGTAAAATAACCTTTCAAACACGTGATCGCAATTGCCAATGAAAATAGTGGAATGCTTCACCATGTGTAATTATGATAACGTATCTATTAGTATTACGTTAAAAATTTTATTGTTTTCCATAAAAGAGTCATCCCCCTCTCTTTATATATCATATAAAACTGTGCGCTTTGATATACACAAGAGTGCAGAAAGTGGCGCTAAACACCATCAGTCAATTAATCATTCAGTCATTTATCAATTTTACAATTATTGAATTAGAAACTAAAGTTCAAATTGGTAACTTAAAAATGTACTAGTTGACCAAAATATGATGCAATATTAGTTGTATATAAAAAAAAAGGTATTTTACCTCCACAGTTTGGATGTTCAACTGAAAATATTCCTTCCATGTGATTAAAAGCGCGCCATCTGAATAAACAATCTTTTCCAATTCTTACGCTACACGTTTAAATGCTAACCTGTTATTGGATTAAATCTCATTTACATCTTTTAAAAATCCTTTCGATCATGAAAAAGTTATTCAACTTATACATTTTGTGAAGTTGTGTGTATACAGAAATAGGCGTGGTAAAGCTATAAACCGGCCTACCCCCAGTAATAGCCGCCTTCGAATAAAATAGATAAAGATCTTCAAGTTTTCAATTCATTGTTGTCAGTGGAAAAGATTATAAGATATAAACACAGATAAATGTAGAAAACTTAAAGCAAGAGAATGATCGTCACGGCTTTCACTTTGTACCTGTTTGATTTTCGCCCGCTTTTTGATGACACACTGAGGAAGGAATGGATTAAACATGAACAATGACAATCAAATAAATATCTAATCTAGCAAAAAATGTTTTTAAAAAATCGATTTTTGTTAAGATTTTACGATAATTATTGCTGTTAACATGGTTACCCGTCACAAATGATGGACACAAAAAAGAATACAAAAATGGCAACTATTAACGATTAGAAAATATGAAAAGTAAAGAATAAAGAAAAAAAAAATCCAAACAAAATATGACATCAGTAAAGAATACAGATAATGAAATAAAAACCTATCCCTCAACCATGTTATGAATTTTATTCAGGATTCAGGATACTCTCATTTATAGAGTGCATTTGTATAAGGGATTTTGCTAAACCTCTGAAAATTGAGGAATTTTAATAATTCACTGACAATAAAATCCCTTATTTCAAGTATAAACTTAACATCAGAAATGCGTTTTTATGAATATTGGTAGACCATTATTATTGTTTTGAATCTATTTATGCGATAGACAATATTTTAAAATTACTATACTTACAAGTCATAACTATCATGTAAAGATACAGACTACAATTCACTAATCTTTGAACAATAAGATTAATTCAATTCACGGGTGTCATTCGGTAAATCGAAAAAATGTTATCGTGAAAGATAAACCGAACGGTGGTCAAGTATTACTATTGGATCGTGAAAGCTCTGGTATACATGTAGGACAGTGAAGGAAATCTTATCGAATAGACATTTATTTGTACGGAAGCGTATTAGCGCCACACACTTTTTTTTAATATGTGTTCCTATGTTTGCAAAAAAACGCACCAATTTTGATTTGAATTATTCATTAAGTTTTGTATATGTTTCGGACCATATGAGTATTTAGACCATACGCGTATGGTCATGACCACATGCGTATACTCATACGGTCCGACCATACGCGTATGGTCGGACCATATGAGTATATACTCGTTTGACTATTAACGGGCCGGACCATATAAGTATTTGAACCATATAGATATTTTTTTTCAAATATGCATTAGAACCGTTTCAATGATACAATAAACTTTATGATTCAAAGACTACATAAACATTAAATATTGATGCCATATATATATTTAGTTTTCATCGCTAATTGTATTCTTGTATTTATGCGTAGGGTGAAATTTATTTCCACACAGTAGTAACGGTACCATAGCTTTTCTGCATTTGCACGTCTTGGTTGTGCACGATCCTTCGCAGTTAAACTTTTTGCTTTCGAGTGGAAAGTTAACCTTCTTAGCAGCTTCGTGCAGTGATACCGAGTTCTTGGGAATTCCATAACAGTTCTTTGAGAAATTTTGAAAAATATCGTCCCAAGTCGACATGTTACCATTCTAGCGTAATAACAAATCGATAAAGACCATAGGTATAAAATGTGTTTACTATAGTTGTGACTAGTAAGTAAAATCAAATGCGTGGAACTGCTTATTTTTATTTAATTAATCTTTTTATCATTATAATATAATAAAATGACCTTTGATATCGTCTTTTTAATGACGTTACAACTAGAAGGGTCATACCTTATGAAGAGTTAAAAGTATTCATTGTAAACTTGTTGATTACCCCGACCATACGCGTATGGTCGGACCATATGCGTATATACCCATACTGTCATGACCATACGCGTATGGTCCAAATACTCATATGGTCCGGAACATATATGCAAAGTCATTAACTAAATACAAACAAGTTACTTTCTTTAAAAAAGAAAAGCAATACGTGAACCCAATATAGCTGACTGGTAACTAAATATTTTTTGCTGAATTTATTTTTGCTTTTGCTTTCAAATAAATTTATTGACTTTCTGAAAGCATGTCAACCACGAAAAAAACCCCATTAAACTTTGAACTTAAATGTATCATGGGGGCATTGGTGGACGAGTGGTCTAATTACTCCAATTACAGTACAACTAGCCTATTAACACCGAGGTTGTGAGTCCCTCATGTGGCAGTTTCTTTGACTCCCATCTGAATTAATTAGGATTGGCAAGTTTTCTTGTCGAGGGCTAGTTGTTCTCTCTCAGGCACTCAGGCTTCATTCACAAATAAAAACTGGCTTCTACGAAATAGAAAACAGTGCCGAAAGTGTCGCTAACCATCAATACATCAACCAATCAGAATACTAGTAATTAACATGCCAATTCTTTTTCTTTTTCTAAATATCACCAGACTCTTTAAAGGCTATAATAAATTATAACGCTTCATTAACACAGTAGTTTTCAGATGACCTGATCAGGTTACAGGTCGGGATCACACAGTACGACTGATAGATCAAAATCTGCCCGAACTAGATTGATTTTATTAAATCCATTGTTTGAATGTTTAATTTTCCAAATCGGAAACTAAGCTACAAATCTGATGTACACACTAGCAAACCAATTGTTTTAATTTGCAATCGGTAACGTAGATCCTATTGTAGCTCATGTATAAATATAGTTCTATTTTTAAAACTGCAGAAATATCAACTCTGTTGATATAAAAATACAAATTTTCACAAAAATACAGATCCCCACATGAACGAAATATCTAACATTATTTTTTGTTATTAAAAATTAGTTAAGAGATGACCCGTCAAAATTAATTAATAAAGGGTAACAATCTTTTAAATTAGTAACTAATTCATTCCAGAGTTTAACAACATATGCATGGTATGAAATTTCTGTAATATGAAACTGTTCTGCACCTTGGGATGGTATAATTCAGAGATTCTCTCGTAAGGTACGTTGTAATCATTTAAAGTGGGAAGACAAGGTTCTAATAAATCTATCATATAACTTGGAGAAAATCCATTTTTTATTTTGTAAAATGTAGTAAGTTTATGCTTCTTTCTTCTGTCTGATAATTTTTCAAGACTGATTTCAGTGTATGAATTTTTAAGAGAAGTTGTACGTCGGAGACCAGTAATAATACGAGCAGCTTCAATTTGAACACTTTCCAATAAGTTAGCTTCTTGTAAAGTGCAATCATCCCATATAATGTTTGCATATTCTAGACTAGGGCGAATGAATGCTGTATAAATTGTAATAAGTACATTTCAATCCAAATTATATTTTACTTGTCTTAATAAATGTAATCTAGAACATGCTTTTTTTATAAACTTCAAACTAGCCTTACTCTCAAAGTTGAGACCTATGTGACAGTGACTTTTAACTTCTTTTATTTGATCCCCTTAATGTAAAAATAAAAAGAAAGGAGGATTTATGTCTTTTCTAGAAAATAAAAGGGTTTCTGTTTTGGAGGGATTAAAGGTAACAGCCAAGTTTTCAGCCCATGTTTTTGTCCTCCAAATAACATCAGTCAGAGACCTAGAAACAGTATCATAGCCATCATCAATGATGGCATATTATAAAGGGGTGTCATCTTCAAATAATATAATATGATTACTCATATTTTTAACAATGTCATTAATATAAGTTAAAAAAAGATCTGACAATTAAGGCCACATCCAACAGTAGCAGAATCTGATTTATGTTTTGTGTAAACTCACTCACACGTAATATAGCGAAAAATGCTAGAATAAATTAGGATTTAAATAATAACATAAGAAGATGTAAAAATACTAGGAAGGACATTTGTGATCTGTCGTAGTAATGACTATGGTCGCGGGGCCATGTGTTTTTTGTGGGTTTCTTCTATATCAACCTTCGAGCATTTTAGATATCATAAAATTCTTAGTAATATCTTCTAAATGTAGTGACTTCTGAGAAAAGGATATACCACTTATATATGAGAAAACGGTAGCTGAAGATTGAAGTTGGAATGAATCAAGAACAGGGTTGCGTTCAATATCGTAGCGGCTACGTAATGCTACGTAGATTTTTGTCTACTGAAAGAGTAGCTAGCCTAGCTTCTATCAATATCTATGTAGCAGCTTGGCTGGCTACACGTTTAATAATCATAAATCTACGTAGCCCTATGTAACTGCTACGATATTGAACGCAACCCAGATCTAGCTCTTTCAGATAGAGAGTCGGAAAAAAAAGGTCGAGCAGATGCTTTTATTATAGATTATATACTTGGTTTGGAGTTTGTCCCAGAGATGCGTTTGGCGCAAGGGTTAAAGTTTCACCGTTTCCCTTTGTTTTGTACGTCTTAGATGTTTTGGCTTGCTGAACATTTTGCTGACATGATGACTGACGAAAGGAATGAAGGGGTACACTTTGAGTTATTACACCCACGTTATTATCATTACTTTGACCATGATCTAGCATAGCTGTTGTAATGTAAAACGATTTTACAGCTGCATGTACCAGTTTGGCAAATACTAAATTTAGTTTTGAACATTGAAAAGCTTGATTTCTCTTTACTAACAGTATAAAATTAAAACGTTCAGTTAATTTATAAAAAGTTAGATCCCTTTCAAGTTATGTGCCCTCTTAATAAGGAGATGGCATTAACATTCTCAATGTAATCTTTTCATTTTATATGTTAAGTGTAGCAGCATTGCAGCATACAGATACAAATTGTTTAGTCTCTAAGAAAACTTGATATTTAGATTTCCATTTCTTTTTTAGTAAAATGGGTGCAATTTTGATACTGGGTGAAATTTGCGTACTGTGCCGTTAGAAGACATATATAGGCCTATATTCGCTTAATTCAAAAGAATAGCTACGGAAATGAGCAAAAATCGTGTTTTGTCTCAACGAAAATAACAAAGTTATAAAAACAATATAAGTACATATTTTGACATCGAACGTTCATATTGCATGCGCACGCGTCTATGTTTGTATTCGAAGTTGTTCTCGGAGAAAAAGTTTGCCTTTGTCCAGGTGAGCTTATCGATACTAAAATTTCCATCAAGTTTTTATACTTCTACATTTCAACAACACTTATTAAATATGAAATGAAATTTAATAGGAACTGAACAATACGCACATATTGTACTTGACCTGCATTCAAATAGAGTGGGAGTGGATTTTTTCCCAAACCGTTGAATTTCCTGATTTTTTGGGGGATTTTTAGAAACGAAAGGAAACCAATTCGAGATAACAAATTACAACCTGAAAGTGATAATATTTGTTGTTATTGTTAGTTTTATTTTCCTTTCCTAGAATAGATTTAAACGTTCCTTCAGATTTGACTGGCAATTCAATCACACTGAACAATGAATCAACAAGTTTATCAAATCAAAGGTCCAGTTGAGATCACATCCAGATCAGATCTAACCCCGAATTCATCGAAAACTCCGAGGAGGACTGTTTTATTTTGATTGATTGGTGATTACTTTTCGCCGGCTCAGCACAACAAAGCTTTCATCGCCGGAAGGACTGTTTTCGAATAACGACTGTCCAAAATGTAGTTTTTCTGACTACTTATTTATTTTCGTACTTTATTCGTGTAATTGTTTTTCTTTGTTTTTTCTTTGTTGTTTTTCATTTTTTTATATCGTTTCATGATTAATTTATTATTTAGTATTGGTAATTTTAAAAATGTTTTTAACTATTTTCAGGTTTTTAACTGTATGACCTTTTTTTAAATATTAACGTGCGAAACAAGTACGAAATCATATATATGCATAGTTACATAAGAATATAATATTTATGATGTCAGGTACATTTAATACCGGATATCAAAACAATCCTCTAGAAAAATACGATCACTGTGTTATTGGAATTTTTATCTGGTTTAAACATCCGTAATGTTCAGCTGTCTTTCTAAATTTTAAGGACACATGAAGGTCGGCGTGGATTTTACAGAATACAGAATAGAAAATGGGCTTGCAGTGCGGAATAAATTGCCGACTAAATAAAGAAGAGAGAAAAATCACGGGGGAAAATAAAGAATAGAGAATTATGAGGTTCTAAAATACAAAGAGTACTGAATAATCATGGACTAAATAAATAAAGTCCAGACAAAATTGGTATATCAAAATAAACAATTAAAGAAAACCAAAAACGAAAAATTCCCTCCGTTAAAATTTAGGAGGTTCTGGATTTTTTTTTTGGGGGGGGGGGTGTCCTTCATTTCTGTATTTTGATTTTTAGACCCGTTATTGTCTATTCTTTATATTTTAGCACCTAATTATTGTCTATTTTGTTGTATCAATTTTTCTCTTTTCTTTTAACATGTACTATTTTCCAATTACTCTCTATTCTGTATATCCGTATCCACATCTTCATTTAAACCTTCAAACAATAAAAGTACATAATATAACCTCATGTATTATGAATTGGACATTTATGTATATCAACCTGGCGAAAATAGAGCTTATACATACACCCATGGAAGGCTTTATTAGTGTTACTATACTTAATCTTTTTAATTTTTTCTTTATCTAAAATATTTTTTACAGGTAAAACCCATCTAACTTTCCAATCAGATAGCTGTTCCAGTTTACGTTATGGAGAACGGTTCTCACCAAGACATTACTAGTGTAATATAAAGTGTTCTTAATAATATATAGCATGCTGGACACCGTTCAGTTGGAGTTGTCACGCCGTCATTGAAGCGTGGGTTCAAATCCCACAAAAACAGGCGACATTTTTTCCCTATAAAATTATAAAGAGATGAGGAATTTTCTTTTTACGGTTTGCCCTCACTATATCTTTTGATGGCTATGAAATTCGATATGTTAATCATATGTTGTGCACACCTTTGGGTTATAATCTAAAGCCAATATAAAGACAAACTGTTGACGAAAGGGAGATAAAGATGTAATAATTAATGTAAGTTAGCAGGAATTATTTCCCCTTAGTTGAACACATACATTTGTAATTTGATATTTTGCACAAGGTTAACAAACTTAAGATTAGGATACTATATAAATAGAAATGTTGACTGAGTAGACAGGATCTTGAAATATTTTTTAAAAGGATAATATATATATATTTATCAATTATGGACTTTTGACGAGGTCAATACGTTATATATGGACCTGTTCAGATTATATTGACCGAGGACGAAGTCCGAGTGTCAATATAATCTAACAGGTCCATATATAACGTATTGAATGAGTGGAAGTCCTTAATTTCTATATTACATATGTAAATAATTTATTAGGAAAACGACGTTCATTGTTCTTTCTGTAATTTTTTAATTGTATTTTGCAAGAATTTTAACATGTTCTTGAAAATATATTTTTTTTAACAAAATCATAGCTTGTTGCATTAACATTCTTGTATTCTTATCGCCTGCATTTAACAGAAAATTCTTGAAATCTCCTGATAAACTTGCAAATTTTATTTTCTGATGCGGCGCTTCCTCTGTGGTTGTGTGACGTCATGACGTCATAAATCTAAATTTAGCAACACTTTTCTTATATTGACCACCAATATACATATAAATAGAAACATAGCGTCAATATACGTAAACATAGAAACAAGGCGTCAGATACGTAAAATAATCTTTGAGACACGTGATCGTCATATCCAATGAAAACAGTAGAATGCTACACCATATGTAATATATATATGTATATTACATATGGTGTAGGATTCCACTTTTTTCATTGGACATTGCGATCACGTGTTTGGGAGGTTATTTTAACAGCAGTCCATTCCATTTTTCAAAATATCCATTTCATTATTCAAAATTGGCTATTTCTTAATTTTCACGCGTATTTTTGATATTAAGGTCCTCCTCAACCCCTCTAATGGTCATTGCTGCACAGTCGACGTGTATATCTATAATCAGTTAAAAAAATTAAAGAGTGTTTTTTTTTCTTTCTGATATTAATTTGAATCTTTGTTAGATAGCAGCAAAATGACGAATTTAGAAATAAGAGATATAGCTATAGTGTCACAGTCAAATTTTTGTATTTCACTATTCACCGCTTGAACTTGAATAATGAAACATAAACTATATCATTATTCATTATTCATCACTTAACATTGAATAGTGAATAGTGAACTATTTCATTATTCATTATTGAATTTTGAATAATAAAAAATGAATAATGGACGTACTTCAGCGTGATCTATAACTGAATTTGGTGGATAGTTGTCTCATTCACAGCGATATAGATGTACTTCATCTTCTTATCTATATTAATATTATTATAAAAATATCGTTCAAATGATTTGTTCAAGATTTGTTATGTAAATTATCTGTAACTTTTATAAAAAATGAAAAGATAGGTTGGATGTGCTTTGCTATCGCACCTGAACCACTGCGATAGCAAAGTACAATATTTTTTTAAACATTTTATTGACAAAATTATATATACTATATATTGTAAATAAAGGGTTCTTATCCCAACCAATGTAACTGTAATTGTAAAATTTATATAGTTATTGTTTCTTGTGATTTGTTTATTATGCGTTTTGTTTCTATGAATTATGGACAAAAGTATTGGTAACGCAGTTATTTCGGTTTACTAGAACTTAATTCCTATCTTGCGTACATACGCCGTTGTTCTGGAGACTCTGGTATGGAGTAGTAAGTCCACAAAGCGCCTGTGCTTCGTTGATTTAGATAAAAAATATTTACATCTTGCTACGCGTCGGAACACCGAAAATGCGACCGTCAAATTAAAATTGACGGTGACAACTCTTCAACTACAGTGCTAGAAATGATAGAAACCAAACGTATTATTGGTTATAAAATGGTTTGGCAGTTGTGTGATGCAAGACATTGTCAAAGTTTTTTCCTTTAGCCGCCCTGTTGAAGTGAAACAATATGGGCAGAGAAAGTCATGAGAGAAGCATATAACGATTTAGCAGAGAGGGTAAAGAACGGAACAAAAGGATGGAACACAATGAATGCCTGTTCAATCAAACGATTTAACAAATCAGTTCAGTTTCACCTCAATTTTCAATTTGAGACGCAAGTGTTTAATAGTGTTCTTATATTTCCATTGATTACAATTATAACTACAGGAAATAAAACCGTAAAACACCTTATAAAGTATTTACATACTTAAATATATATATAATCAATTTTTATTGTGTAAATTTAGATGTGGAAGTCACCGATTACCTATCGAGATGGGAAGGTGGAATAACATATCCAGAAATGATAGGTTGTGCAATCTTTGCGAATCAAGAGACATAGGTGATGAATATCATTATGTTATGTCATGTAATGCTCTAAATCAATAAAGAGAGAGGTTGTTACCATACTATTGTACTCTTCGTCCAATTATTTATAAATATCAACAATTGATGAGCTCTAATAATTATATTGTTCTTGAAAAACTATGTAGATTTATAAAAATTATAAATGTGGGGGTCACTCCTCCTGGTTAGTTTGTAATTTAATGTTTATGGTTGTGTTGTTCACATGTGCTTTAATATTTAATGTAATTGTTTATACATATATATTCTCTTTAACTATGTAATTTGTAGTTAATGAGAAATAAAAATCATTCATTTATAAATTTGCATTGATTACAATAATGATCAATAATATTATAACAACAGAAAATTGAAAAAAAGTAAAACATCATAAGTATTTGCAACATGTATTTTTATACAAAAGACGGAAGGAGTGACGTTTAAATAAATACATTCATCTGCACAATCAATGACGATATTGTAAATTCAGAGGCATGTTTGTTTGTTGTAATTCTCAATCCCATCCACATACATAAAGTCATCGTCACTTTCACTGCTAGACGGAATGGCATCTGCATGGCACAACAAATCTATTTCGGAATAAATAGTTCTGTCTTCTTTGCCATGGACAATACTCGTGCTTGTTGAAGGCCCTGCTTCAAATATAACTTCAGCATAGTTAAGGTTAGATTCAGTATGCTGCAAAATAAATGTGTAAAATGTAGTAGTAACTATAAAATAATGCATAACTGAAGTGAAAACCTTTGAAATTTTCTATCGCATTATGGAACGTTTTAATGTCAGAAAAAGTTCTTGATAAGTTTATGTTATGTCTGACCTTACATGGGACTATATGAGTATATACAGATATGATCATGACCATTCCTGTATGGTCCAAATGCTCCTATTGTCTGGAATATTTATTTAACATGTCATCACATTAGATAAGAGTAACATAGATAAGTATTACGAAATATGTCGATTTAGACTTCAATTAAATTTTCATTTAAAATAGATATTTTTTTTATTCTATGCGTTAAACGTTTTTACCTGTGTTTGAATGCTTAGGTCGGCATGAACAGCGTTTTGTTCTTCTATCAATTCTTCTTGATACTCTGAAAGTAATACAAAAAAAAAAGAAAAATGAAATGTCGATTGCTTTCAGTTCTCTATTAAATGATGATAAATAATTTTGACAAGTTTTAGAAGTACCCTTCACTTTCTTTGAATATTTGCTCCGTTTGTGTGCTCCAGCTTTCTCGACCAATAAAAATTGACATCACGAAATAGAAAAATATTTAAAAAGTACTGAAATTGACGTTAGACACAAAGACATCAACCAATTAATCAATTTGTGTGCAAATAAGCCTCATCCTAATAACGGCAATACTTTATTTTTCAAAGTACGTTGCAAATGCAAATTTCATTATTGTCATATACGTGATAAACATACGACTATCTAAAGCTGAACTTGACTGTCCTATAGGTTGAATTCCCATTTCATTTAGTTCTTGCTGATATCTAGTAGAATTTGATTGACGAAAGTCTGTTGACAGGTATAAACGATTGTCAACTGACTCCCCTGATCAAGGAAAACAGAAAACAATTGTAAATAAAATACTGTACTTGTTACACATGATCGTCATATTCACACCACATGTATTTCTCAATTCTTTTTTAAATAATTTCACTACACACATATTTTGTTTTGAACGCCTTTTTTTATAAAGTAAATGAAAATATGAATAGAATTTCTCATCATACCCTCTAGAAAATTACAAATATTTAAGATTTTGAAAATAACTGGGGAAAACAAAGACAGTTAAGATCTTAATGTCATAAATGAGGATTATCATACATCGCAAAATTGAATAATGAATTTATAATGAAAAACATTACTAATATATCAGACAAGACATGTTTTATTACTAAACCAAGTGAAGATGTTAAAAGTACAAATAACCTACAAAGCATGTAAGTGAAATTTCAAATTAATTGATACAATATACAAAACTGTTTACATTGTAGGTGCAAATTCTTAATGGACCAAACAAGAAAAAGAAAGAACAACAGAAAAATGAAGACGCAAATACTTTTTGCAAATATGGTAAAGGAAGTTGCCACAATTGTAAACAAGATTTCTACGGCTATATTTCTGTTGTCGTAGTAAAAATTATGTCCTAATATTATATGTATTATGCATTTACATTGCTTTGACATAACTTGTTGAATAAACAATGCTAGTCGAATATCCTGACAAAAACATTTCCTTTTTCTATGAATAATTTCCTCCCTCAAAATATCGAATTAATAATTTACTGATTATGATATGGTAATTCAAAATCATTTTCGAAATACTTATGGAACATATGTTTAAAGATTTGAATTAACCGATCACTTATAATGATCGTAATATATTTGTTTCACTGATGTCTATATCTATTGTTTTCGATTTAAAATCATGTGAATAAAGCCAAATGAATGTATCAAATTCTAACGAGAACAGGTTTTTAACCACTCTATACACACATTTAGTCATTTTGGCGCAAATATGAAATTTTAATCCTGGTATCTATGATGCGTTTATTTGATATAGGTACGTGTAAATAAATAATAAGTGTGTATACGTATATATATATATATATATAATAAATTTAACGTTGCTCTTAATTTTCTCTTATATTTGTTAATTTACGCACTTATATTAACAAACTGAAAACTTCAGTTAACGAAGGAATTGATTGGTGTCTATGCATATCTTAAATATTATTAAAAGTATAACAAAATGTGAGTGAAAAATAAAGTGCAAATGTGCACATTTCTAGTTCTTAAAGACATGAACAAAAATGTAACATTCTGGTAAATAAATGCAACAGTAGTATTTTATTAGGAACTTTCCGTTTTGAATTTTCCTCGGAGTTCAGTATTTTTGTGATTTGACTTTTTATACCATGTATACCGCTGTTCATATTGTACTAATATGTACCTTGTATATTCATTTCCAGGTCTGCAAGTCTACAAGCAAAATTATAGATACATAAACATATTTAAATTTCGCACTATCTTACTGAGTTAAAGAGGCGATGCTTTCTGATATCAATTTTAAAATTGATATATTTTAAGGATACAACTGAATGACAAAATGCAAATATTGAATTGAAGACAATAAACCCCCATACCGCTATTAACAAATGACGAAGAATAATTTGAAAATACAATGTATCTTCTTCTGAAATGACCATCTTATACCCATAGCAAAAACAATTCAAAAACAGAATTCACTTAAAAAAGAATCAGATTATCGTGTTTAACGGTATATTAGGAAGTAAGCTGGGGTTGACAGTTGAGTACTGGCTTACAACTTTAGAAAAAAAACCAACAAACATTGGCATGAATTACAAATGTATATGTAAGCGTCTTTGTAAGATGTCAAACTCAAAATTGCTACTATTTTAAACAGGTTGTTAATTAGTATAACCGACGAGAAACCGATAACTTAATTATCATCTCCTGTAAAACAAATACTGGTAACTGATTAAAAAAATAAACCCTGATGTGGTTTGTGACTTTGGAAATGTGGATTTTTTTTCATTTAAGAAATGTACCTCTTTTCTTAATATTTGTGTCAAATGTACAAGAAGAACACGACATTACATTCAAATCTGGTAAAATAACTTTAGCGTATTACACCCACACTCAAAAAAATAAATTACTTGAATTTACTTAAAACAAGTATTGATTTTACTCAAATCAAGTAAAAAAAACAAGTAAAAATGTTTGTCAAAAAATGAGTAATTGCTAGTAATGCCAAGTAATTATAAGTAATTACCTAGTAATTAAATTTAAGTAATTTTTCAATGTATCTTAAGTAATTCTTTTAATAAATACTAAGTAATGTTTTTCATATATAATAAGTAATTCTTTTTATTATAGTAAGTAATTCATTTAATCATGTTAATACACATTAAGTATTTCTTTTAATTATAGTAAGTAATTCTTTTATTAAAAGTAAGTAATTCTTTAAATAAAAGTAAGTAATTCTTTTAATAAAAGTAAGTAATTCTTTTAACAAAAGTAAGTTATTCTTTTAATAAAAGTAAGTAATTCTTTTAATAAAAGTAAGTAATTCTTTTAATACACATTAAGTATTTCTTTTAACAATAGTAAGTAATTCTTTTAATATTTATCGAGCATTTCTTTTAATACTCTTAGTAACTCGTGTACCACTTTTTTAGTTATGGCAAATAATTTCTGGAAATACAATTACTTGCAACAGTAAATTTATTTGTAGGTTTTGAGTAATTCTTTTACATATAAATTGTATATATAAATATTAAAATAAAAACTCTACATGGTTTTATCATAAATGCATATAATTTGAAAAAGTAACATACCTTTTTAAAGAATTATCATATACTATATCCTTTGTTATAATCCATTTCTATTCTTGTTTGTTGTAAGTTAACATGGGCTACCTCCCGAGCAACTCTTTGAGTTACATTTTCATTTAATTGAATTAGTACACAAAGAGTAGCTAGAAACATAAATACCCACAAAGTGTCCTTTTTGTAAGGTTCTCCTTTCCTTTCATGCTTGTCAATCGTGCAAGTATTTCAACAAACTCAGTATACTTTTTGTTCAAATTTAAATCTGAATGAGTTCCAGCCAATTTTCAAAAATAGCTTACCAAAGTCAAATGAAACCTTAATTCTGATTGGTTGAATATTGTATCAGTCTCAAATCAAAAACTTCTTATTAAATACAGGAAATATGATATAATTTTGTATATTTAAAATAAATAATTAATTTTAAATTTTAGTAAGTCTAAGTCATGTAAGTTTACATTATAAAAATTATATCAAAAATTAATAATGATAATTTGAAGATATTTTGATATGAAAATAAATTAAGTAATGACTAGTAATTCTGATACTAAGTAATTCCAATCAAATTTTTAAAGCATTTCAAAGTATTATCTAAAAACAGGCTATTATTTCAATTCGGAATTATTTTTAATTATGGAATTTGCATAATTTCTTGTGATTGAAATTTTTAATGAATTCCATGTTTATTCTGCATTATAATTTTTTTTAGCATTCCATTATACTTTCAATACAATGTATTTTTTATAGATAGTGTTGTGCGCGGCACAGTGCATGCATTCTATTGAAAATGTGTTATCTTCTTTGTAATACAAAGTGTTGTGCGCCGCACAGAACATTAAAATACAGAATAAACATGGAATTTATAAAAAAAATTCAAGCACAAGAAATTATGCAAACTCCATAATTAGATAATTCCAAGTTGAAATAATAGCCTGTTTAAAGAAAATTGCTTTAACAGTTATCCAAATTTATGCAATTTTCAGACTGTGAAACCTACATATGTTGAAATTGTTAAATTATGGAGTCAAATTTCATAGAAAGCATTTATTATTATATGTAACAAGCCTTATGCAAGCAAACAACATTATGTAGTGCCTAAGCCTACTTAGTAAAAACAAGTTTTATATCAAAGTTATCAGAAGTAATTCCAGTAACTTTCATACTGCATTTTAGTATAAATAAAAAAAATAAATATGTGTAGTTCATTAATATATAACTTAATCTAAGTAATTTCGTTTTACTAAAAACAGTAAGTTATTACTTAAATAAGGACTAAGTAATTCATTTACGCAAGTGAGTAAAATCATTATTAGTATTTGTTTTAATTTAAGTAAAACAATTACTTGTTTCAAGTAATTATTTTCATATCTAGCAAAACATAAGTAATTGCTAGTAATAGTGAGTAATTGGTTAGTAATTCCTGGTAATGAGTAATAAAAAAGAATACTTAATTTAAGTAAAATATAATTACTTAGTAATAATTTTTTTGTGTGCACATATAGTACCAATAACAGCACGCACTGTTAAATAATCTTCGCAAGCACGTGCAACTGACATCATACATGTATGCATATCTAAAATGTATGTTACCCAACACTGTTAAATATGAAGTAAACACTTGATTAACTTCGAGCGTCCGAAGTGCCTTTCTGGATTAATATGCACATTTGAAAATCAATAAGCCTAAATACAATAAGCTACATCAGTAAAGTTTATATAAATATAAAAAAAACAGACCAATGTTACATCCATACATTTCATGCAAGAAGATAAATAAAGCATGCTGTTAAAAAGAAAAAAAAATAACAGTTTACCTTATGTTGTGACACTGCTTTCTTTTCTCTATCCGATTAATCATTTACACTTTGACATGTTTAAGGCAATTGGTTGATTAAAATACTTTATTATATATTATATTATATCATATTACTATAATGTACGAAGGATTATAAAAAAAATATGAATTTATAATACCGCTCAACGAATTTACTGGTTACTATTTACCGTTACACAAATATTATATAAGTACCGATGAGAAAAGAATATTTTTAATATAAGATTGTTTGGGAGGGATCTTGGATTTCGGTGTTGTTCCGGGTTCAGATTTTTCGAATATTTGTGAGATTGAGCGTCATTGAAAAGACATTAAGAGTGGAAATTCGAATCAATCTGCTGCAGTGCCGATAGTATTACCACAATTTACAATGAAATGGGATTATATCTAAATACTCTTACTACACATTGTGAATCAATGAAGTTTTATTCACAACAAAACTTAGCTTAACCGAAAAATGCATTAATATCAGTCTGTTAAAAAGTGTAAAATAATATTGACAATACTTAAGATTCCATCCTATCACTATAGTCGATTTGTTACCTCTTATTTTAACTACTACAAACACCAAACCATAGCAAATTAAAGCTTATACTATCATTACAGAAATAACAATCCACTCCAAGAAACGTTGCCCGTCTTCTCTCAATTCTTCAGTTACGAAAAGAAAAACAACATTTGAATAACAGTCAATATCAGTTTTACAACTATAAAAACATAATGAAAATGTAATATATCGAAAAAAAACTTCTGTTAGTAAGGACTTCGTTGTTTTTTACTTTTGTTTAAATTACAGACAGTATTTTAATGTTTGTTTTGAATTTTAATACTATAAAATTTTGTTCAAACAGCTACGAATGAATATACAATAAAATCTCCAGATATATGATTAGACAGTAATATTTGAGTAACGAAAACCCGTCATTAGTTTACCAAACATCGGTTGGCACGAAATAAAAAACGAAAATGAACTTTATCCGAAATAGGAGATAATTGAATTAAAAGAAGTACATACGATCACAAATGTATCCAAAAAAATGTTGATCTTGAAGGTCATGTGTAACACTGAGTACAGAAGAGAGAATTTCTTTTTTAATTTATCTTTAAAAATATTTTTAAAGGAAGAAATCAGTCTGAAATTTATATAGTGCCAGCCTTTTGTATGCTGTAAACAAACTTTGACTTAATATAAAAATCGTTGAATCAGTATATCTATTATTAAAGTAAATTCCTGCAACACTTACTTCTTGTGAGAATGGTCGTAATATTTGTTTTAACACTAAATCCAGCCTTATTCCTAGCATACATTCGAATTTCGTATTGTGTATCAGGACGTAAGTCCGATAAAGTAAATGCAACATCTTTCTCCTTATGATCCTGTATAGGACCTATATTCGTCCAGGTTGTCCTTGTTGATTGTCGGTATTGAATAAAGAAGTTTTGGCTACAACCTCTTTTAAAACCCGGATGCCATTTCATGAATATGTTGGTCTCGTCACTTATCAGGGAAATATTTGATGGTGGTTCTAGAATACCTGAAGTTGGGGAAAATAAACATATTTTTCTGTTATGTTAAAAGAATGTACAACTACCTTTTTTATTTACCTATCTTTGTTTAACATTTTTTTATGTAGTCATGATTTTTTATTATGCATGATGTTTGTTCATAAGTTACACTGTTTGGTTATCGCTGTAAGTTGACGGATATATATTTCAGTGCATTTCTTTAAGTTGCTAGTGTTTCGTTGTGCATGTGATTTAATGACATTGCTGACTATGACTATGAAATGAAGGTATTGTAACATGTACATGATGTAGACGGATATACTTTGGCTCTATATACGACAATAACACGAAATAAATAATCTCTCATAAATAGGTATTGATATTTTTTCAAATATGTCGTACACATTTGCTCTAGTGAATCAGATTCACCGAAATCATGTAGTTGTTTAAAACAAAACTGCCCATAACTTTAAATATTGTTAAAGGCATTTGAATATGTGTCAAACCCTTCCCAAACATATATTTTGCTACAAAATATCTTAAACATTTACCCTAACGGCAAGGTTCTTTTCTATGTTGTGTCAGAGTTAAAGTCTAAATTTCAGTGTCTTGATTTATTTAAAACTCGCACTAACATACATGTAGCATCGAAAGAACGGGGAAAAAAACTAAACTTAGAGAGGGAAAAAATCATTGTATTCTCCATACATTTTCTTATCAGTGCAATACACTTATGAATGTTTGCAACCCCTCAGGAGAAGCCTGAGTTGAAATGTTCTGTTTAGCACTATTCAGGTTTTTGTAACTGATTAATGTTCGACCGTCGAAATGTAATCGTAATTCTAAAGTAGGTGCAGAAACCATAGCAATACATACAAACTTAGATTTTATTGATTGGCATTGTGAAATACGTGAATGCAATATTAGACACAAACCATCACAAGTTTTCGATATCCGTTACAACATAAAAATACAAACCGTATTAAACTATGAAAGAAAAGAAAAAAGCATAACAGCCAATTATGCTACACATTCATCTGTGAATATTTCTTTATCTCATTTATCTAAAGGGTTGCCATAATTATACTCGAAATGCGCTTCTAAACATAAAAATATAAAACAACTCACTCTTAACCTTCTTAATTTGGATGGACACATATGACCATATTTTAATTCATGCATCACCATTCATTCGTTCATTCATGTATCTCGTTACAATTACTATTATAAGATTATATTGTGCAATATTTTTCCTCAATGGGTCGTCAATGTTGTGTCATTAGAGGATGCCCTCATATATCGAAAGACGTCATTGTTTTGCATTTGACAACAAACAGTTCGAGATGTCGAATTTTCTGTCACATTAAATACAATCAAAATAAATTAGTAGCAGCAAGTGGGTTTTAACAAATATACGTACCTGTTGAAATGACATTAACGTCAAAGAGCTCACACCCAAATGTATTACACACATTTGCAGAATAATTCCTAATTTCGTCTTTCACAGTTTTAACATAAAATGTCACTTCGACACACGGCACTTTAACACTGACATTATAGAATACCAAATAATCTCTACACGTCGAATTCATCAAGGAACCTATCACTTCAGGCGATTGCCTCTCTTCACTCTTTTCCTCTAGTTTAAGAATTGGTTCACTCGTGATATCGGATGAAGTAAAGACTCTTAAAGTAACAATTACATCTCCATGACATTGTCTAAACCAGGTTTTGCTGTTGTTTAAAAAAAACACCGGTGGCCCTGTTATATAATGAATAAAGAAAAAGAAAATAACATATTGAATTTGGAATAATTCTATGATGTGACAAAATATATGACAAGGTATTTTTTTTTCATCTGAAAACATAGACGTATGTATTAGGTATTAATATTTTTTTTTATAAATTTAGCTAGTATTATTTTTTCGGCACAAATCCGTGTCCAGCGTCACCTTTATCTTTTCCTTTGATCTGTGTTCTGTTTGATATTACGTCATAAACTTCAAAAATCATTTTTTTTCAACATTCTTAAATTGACTTTTGTTGACGTCAGAGTTATCCGAGGAGAAAAGTTTGGTTGTATAAGATTCATATTCGAATGAAATCGAAAACAATCAAGTCTATTGCTAAGTGATCGTCTGTTAAACTATGTACATATAGGGGTTTCATTGGGATAAGATAACTTAGGATTTGTGAGTTTTGAACTATGGGAAAATAAGGAAACGTGGAAGAGACTAAAAACAGGTATTCTCATAACCAATTTCGTTGCACGAATTATTGAAGTTAGGAATTCATGGAATTGGAATTAGAAAGAGAAATTCGAAAATCGAGTTCCCCTTCTTCAACCGCTCTTGATTTCGGAATTTAAATATCTTCAATTAGATATTTCCAAGAAATCATAATATGATTCATCGATACATGTATCAAAAAACATTTTATAGAAGAGAGCAATGTTTACATGATTTTATGAAAATTAATGCTATTAAGGACGTCTTTAACGTTCAACATAATAAGGTTTTGGTTGATGATGTCCGTCTTATACTTGTAACCTTGAAAGCCAAATTGCATACAAACATTTATAAAAAAAAAGTTACAATAGCGTCTGTTTGTAATTCATTTATTTCATATTCGAAAACTTTCGTTGCAGACGAGACAAAAATGATTTGACAAACATTATGTCACAAATGTGTTGTTCACATGATGGTTATTATCAAAATCAATTAATAGCTCGATAAATTGAATCATTGTACATCAGGGTTGTCATTATATATTAACCCGAAAAGGTATTTTATGATTTGCGCTTTTCGGTTGATAAAGCTCATTTGTACGTTTACAAGTATACATATCCTTATAGTTAATTGGATTCTTGCATATTGCAATTGATTATGGTATAATACACATAAAATCCAAATTTTAGAAACAATTTGTACATGTTGTTTATGCTTACCTTCATATTGTACCAGGACTTGATGTTGCTGATAATGCTCTCTATCCATATCAATGATATCATTATTCACTCTGCATATATATATCCCGCTATTCTGAAAATTGTCTTTCTTCAGTACAAGTGTACCGTCTTGCGTGTTTTTTATATATCGTATATGTTTACCCGATTCTGATTTATGTTCCCAATCTTTTAAAGTGTATGACACAGAATCGTCGGAAATATTGCATTCAAGGTATGAATCTTCTACTTGTGGGGTAATTGTTGAGACAACAGGCGGAGCTAACCAAAAGAAAATGGTAATGAAAAGATTTGTTTGGATTTATATTTTGATATTTAATTCTTTTGTATGGTTATTCCTACTTCAAGCAATATGTTTAGGGAAAAAATATATGACGTCTAATTCCAATTAATAAATATGGTATTCCGATTTCACAAAAAAACACATTTCATCATAATCACTCAGTATACGCATTTTAATATTTTGTTTTCATCAATTGCTATTATCGAATATTCATTACTCAAATGTATCAACACTTGAAGCAAATTTATCTCAAATGAACACTGCGTAAGAATAATGAGGATACAATAAGTTGCAAAATCGGTTGTATCTGTAGACATAGTTTAAAATCTGCGCTCTCTTTGAACTCTCGGTAATTGTAATATTTGCATAGCAATAGGGCACTTGATAATTGTTGAAGATCACATTTTAAGGATTGGGCCCTTTAAGAACTTTTGAGCTATTTGGTTGCTGACGTATATTCTTTTGTTATCGTGCAATTTTCATTCAATTGTACAGTTATAATTAAAAGAAGGCACAGGTGCGTTTAATTCAATATCTGATTGCAGGAATATTATGTTGGTTGCAATCACAATGTATTATAACTTACAAAAGAGAGGCAAAAGGTACAAAAGGGACATCAAAGTTACTATTTAAAAATAAGCTGACAACATCATGACTAAAACAGTAGAAAAAACCCAGACAAACAATGGTACACAAGACAACATAGAAAACCAAAGACTGAGATACACGAACCCAACACAGAGCTGGGGGCGGGGGAAGGGGGTAATCTGAGGAGCTCCGGAAGGGTTAGAAGATCCTGCTCCATATGTAACATCTATCGTGCAAATCATGAAAATACAAACCCGGTGTTATGTCTAATTCTGTAGAACACCTATCTTCATAGAGGAACGCGAAATTAACGGAAAATTCTTTTCTTTCTTCAGTAGACATCCATGTATGAAGCCAGCCTTATACGAACAAAGAAACAAGTCGGCAAGAAGAAGGTAACAGTTGGTTCCCGTCAGAATGCCAACTGTTTGTTTAAAAACACGTCCTACTAACATAACACATATGTTGTCAATCATGAACTCAAACATCTTGATTACAATTCGTGTAATAGACAACTATTTACTTCTAATGCAAAGTGTTACAAACATACATGGTCGAAATGAATTAGTATAGGAACAGTTGGAATCAGTTCAAATCTCTCAGAAGCTACCACTATGAATGTTCTACAACAGTTCATAGACCAGTTCTTCTCACTTCTTTCGAACAGTTTTCAACAGATTAATCGTTCTATATAGTTATTTATTGAATTATATTAACCAATTTGATTAATTCATTTATTAAATGTATTTAACATATCTATTATAATTTTTGTTATTCTCTCTATTTTGTTATATTAATCTTATTCGTGTTTTTTGTTGTTGTCTATTTTCAATAATTACGTATTGTTAAGTAGTGTTGAAAATAAGTAGTGTTTCTAGTTGTTAGTTATCAAAGGTACCAGGATTATAATTTAATACCCCAGACGCGCGTTTCGTCTACATAAGACTCATCAGTTACGCTCAGATCAAAATAGTAATGAAACTAGAACTGTATAGACCGGCAACAATGTATTTCTAAAGAAAATATATTATTAGTCCGGTTTATGATAATTACGTAAATATACACAGCTAATGTTTACTATATATAAAATATTTGAGTTTAAAATCTATGAAATATTGACGTATAACAGAACCAAAAATACATTGAATACTTGTGTGTTAGTGTAGCTTATTTCGCTTTCCTTATTCAAAATATAACACAGAGAAATTACAGCTGACTAACCATGTTCCTAATGACGATATAATAGCTGCTTTAATTAACGTCAGGTAAAACTGTTCTACCCTAGAGCAGAATTTGTAATGAATATTAACGAAACACGAAATGTAATATAGTCTTAAACGTAAACATGTTCACAGCATTTTTTCCTCTTTAATGAACGTTTGATAAATATCTTGAATGCAATTTTTTTATCAACGTGTAATTAGTACTTACTCTGTATGATAAGTCTGTAAACACGACTATTTGTTGTATCATTTTTTATGTATTGACATTTGTATTTTCCTTCATCTGTCGACGAAAAATGTTTAATTATTAGATTACAAGTTCTGTTTTTGTAACTTCCCACAATATAATATTTTGACATGTTTAACTTTGGGTTAAGCAGAAACCCCTGTGCATATGGCATTAAATTTTCTTCGTCCAGATCGTTTATTCTTGATGCTGACTTATTTGGTCCATTCCAGAGCCCATTTGTTTGACTGGTGCATGTACAATTTAATAAAATTGTATCACCTCTTCTCACGAGTACTTCTTGTATGATTCCTATAGAATACAGGGATAATCGTCTTAAGTTCCTTTTGGAAGTCAAACATGCAAACAAAAATAATATATATTTGAACATTTTGCTCTAAATTCAAATGCATTTATAACCATATATCTGCATTTGTGCGGGATATGTCTATCAAGAGATAACAAGTTCATTGATTGGTTGACTGCTTGTGTTTCAGAAACTGTCAGCAGTCTTTGCTATAACGCTACTGTCGGTTGTTTACGGTGAAGGAAGATACATTGAAATGTGAATGGTTTTACTTTTGGCCCTTTTTAGGCTTTTAGTTTGCAACTTTCGTATTAAGTTTCGATTTGAAATGCTTTTACTCACCAGTTTTACTATTATAAGTATAACTGAGTGCTTTCAACCTAACTAGTTTTTTGCATTTTTCGATATGTATCCATTTCTTATGTCTATTTTTTAATGTATCAACCATGATAGTAGGATGCTTTTGTTCCTAGGCAACCGCTGATCGTTTTTTTTCCGTCTTACAACGACTGATTATTGTACTAAGTAAAATAATATTTTACCTGCAACCTGCAACACTTTCAGGAAAACAAAAATAAATTTCTTTCTATTCCACATGTCTAAAATAACAAAGAAGAATACCCAATGGTTAAGTTTAATGTATATCAATTGTACAGATTTATATTATATGGTATTTTGTACTTGCTTCTAGTTATTCTAAATATAAGATTCTGACTTTAACTGTATACGTAAAAAGCTTTACCTGTATTCTCATTCTTAATTGTGTTTCTCCCGTGGTAATAAAATACATTACATTTATTGAGCTATTACTACTTGACAGCCACACTATTGAATAACATAAAAACTTCCTTCTTAAATAACTGCATGACGGTCACGACAAAAATAGAAAATCGGAAATTGGGTCTCAATAAACACAATTTCTTTTATATTTAGTATGACGCTTTCATTTTATTCCTTTAGTGACATACCGTATGTTCTTTATAAAAAGTGAATGTGTAATATTTAAGAAATAATTCATGGAAGCCATAGATTGTTGGATATTTACACATGGCCAGGGCCGTGATATTCGAATGTTATCCTGAGCGTTAGCGAGGGATAAAATTAACGAATATCACGGCCCAGGCCATGTGTAAATGTCCAACAATCTATGGCTTTCATGAATTATTTCGATTCTAATAGGACAAATACAGTCATAAAAAAAATAAGCGAGAATGGGTATGCTGTGTGTGTGGCTGTTCTATTTCACTTCCTGTTAGATAAATCTCAAGCATTCTAATAAATCTATAGCTTGCATGGATTATTTCGTGAATAAACGCTAGAAAAAAATCTGTTTAATTCTTTTAATTCTCAACCCAACATTTGCAATTTTTAATTTACATGTTTTTCTCGTAAGCTACCGTCAAATCCAAAGTTGACATTTCGTAACTAAGGAGCCGCCATATTGACTTGCTGAAATCAGTAAATATTCGAATAATGCAATGCAATAGAAAATTAAACAAAACCTACCTCAAAAATCAATTTAAATACAATATTATATGAATTTGGATGGCTCACGTAACAGAAAACTTTCAACTCTAGCGTTTTCATTTGTATGACGTCATGTTTTGAAATGACATAAATGCGCCAAAACATTAATAGACTTTCGCGGAATTTAATTTTTATTTGTATTTTGTTGCTTTCTCCGAATAAGAAAAAAAGTTATTTTTCTTTTTTTTAATTAAAATTTTTAAAACAATAAAATCGGCAAAGGGTTTGCAAATAGGTTCCAATACATGTGGATTTACGTGGGAAGTATATTGTAACAGCCATTATTATGTATATATGTGAGTCTGCGCTAAGTATAGATATATCGAGAATTTTATCACGGTGTTGGTTACAAAGCGAAAGATTCACGTCATATTAGAATCAACAATAATCTTAATACGGGTTTTGTATAATATGTTCAATTCGATTTCGATATATTTATGGTTCTTGTTTTTTTCCCTCCTGGTTATTTTACTATAATTTTACTATTTTTTTTGAACGGTTTATGTTCAATCTTTTGGAGTAAGTCTTTATCATTAATCGATATAGCTTTAATATTATTTTTTATTTTATTTTACATTTACATACAACATCAACAGTGTATAATATTTTAAACTACACAAGTTATATTTTACATTTTACATCTGGATCTCGATTTCGGTGCGTCAGAAAAAAAAAATGTTTACGAAAGATAAGTAAAAACAAAATTAATAATTTAGTAAGGAACCATGACGAAAGTTATCACTTAAGAAGACTAATAACACACTTTATCTAATTCTTACACGATTTATCCCTTTCCTGACATGTTGATTATTTTTATTTAATCAACGTGTGGATCGTTTGATCTCATTTCTTCATTGGTCAAAATTCGATTATGACGTCGATATCGTATCACACTCGATGCAATGGTAGAATCTTTATTTATAAAATGTTATTGTCAAAAATTATATTCAATATGAACCGGCGTGTGCAGACTAATTCGTGTTATTAGTTTTCCAAATTTTTTAATGTAGCTTATGCCTTTTATTTTCCTGTTTCCGTAATATATATCGGAAACAATTCAAATAGAAAATGTGCCATCGTTTCCTGGGGTCGATTGGTTTTGTTGTTTTAAAAATTTCCGGCTATTATCAATACTACTTTCCTTGTTTGATTTAAAATAATTATGGTTATTCCTAATGTAAATTTATAGGTAAACTTAACATCTGTAGAGTTTTTTTACGTACCATTTAAATTTCATACTGACATATATATTAACCGAATGTAACACTAACTGCCATTTCAATTACTTTTGTAGTTTTTTGTGCACTGTACATATTTAACTTGATCATATAATCTGTGAATATGAACGGGTACAGAATGATGAACTGCAACTTTATGTATATCCATGATACTAAAGGTGTCAATAACATAAATTATATAGATTGAATACAAAATTGTACATTTAGATTTTGATATATAAACTTTTTTCAACTTAATAAACAATGAATACAAATGTTTTGAAATATAACATTTAAACATAGACAAGATTAATTGGTTCATAAGGATTTTCCTAAACTTCTTCGCTTGATTGCATCCGTTTCAATATTTTGTCTAAATATTATTGGTATCAGTAATTACTGATTTATCGTCACGGTTGTCTAATTGGAGAGTTAGCAAAGGATCATATTTTATGGTTTATTATCCTTCATAATTGTAAAATTTTTCTAGAGCATCATTTTGGACTTCTTCTTGCGTATCAGAAAGCAAAAATTAGGAAACCATTCAACAATTACAATTCATCCAAATACACTGCAAAGTACTAACCATAAAAAAACTAGCTGTGTCAGGAAATTTTATATTCCTCTTTTAAAATCTTTTAATATAAGACTTAAATAAGTTTTGTTCGCTTGTACATTCGCACGTTTGGTTCTCATATCATCATGATAACTGTTAGTATTGGTTATATTACTGTAAGACAAATATTAAAACAAATATTGAGCATTTCACAGAGAAAATAAATCATTGTCATCTTTCAAAACCCGATCAACACTCAACCCGTTACAATAGAACTGGTAAGGCAGTAAAGAAATAAGAAACGTGCCGAATTTTGATCTGACATTTATCCGTAATTATCATAAAGAGTGTATGATTAAACCTCCAAAGAACTATTAAAAGGTTGGATGTTATGAATGGAGTGTGGTTTTCCATGGTATATACGGTAATGTATTTCTACGGCTTATAGGTTGCACTTTGTAAATACAGCTGTTCCCCAAACCACGCCTCTTTTGGGGAGATTTGGAATATTCATAGAAAATTTATTTTGTTTACATACTGGTTCCCACTTCTGATCTGTAGGTTGCATCTCATAGAGACATAACTTGTGAAAGTTACCAGAAAATATACATGTGAATATTGTTTATATTGAAATCTATGGTAACCCTACAGTCGAGGCAGGGATAGTTAAGAAATTTAGTGTTAGACTAAGTTTAAACTGTTAGAAGTTCGGGGCATATAAACGTTGAAAATATGCCGCACAGCCCTATATTTTGACCTTTGAAAAAAATAGTAGTGAATATGAACTTTCCATTCTAAGATATGATTTTTTTTCAAAACTTCATAGTAAAAGTGGTACAGTTTGAGCCGTAAAGGGAGTTCCTATGGGAAAATGCATTGTCAATATTTACAGAAATGCAACCTTTATTGGGTGAAATAAGAGAAGATACAGAATTTAACCTAATTTGGTTTATCTCACAGATTTTAATGAAATTAACTCAAATATGAAGTTTCATAAATATTTCATGAAGATTGATAAAAACCTGGGCCTTAAATATGATGACTCAGCATACATTCACAGTTTACAGTATGCATAGTTTACTTAAAAGCCTGAATGCAAAATAAATTCATAACATATGCATATTTGTTAGTTAAATTGTTAAGAAGTGCTTATATTTACTCTTCGCAGTCATTGAAACTCATAGATACCTCCTGAATATTATTAGTGAGGTGTTTTTGTCCTGTCGATAACCCAAAAGTAAGCCGTTACACCTAAATCTGTTTTTTTTTTTGTCACCGCGGCATAAAAAATACAAGCTAGAAATATTAAAATATCTCAACAACACTTACAAGAGTGTGTTCTATCCTGAATATGTACTAAATATATCATATTGCTAAAAACAGCAGAACAATTTAGAAAATTTGAGGCCCCAGAGAGAAAACACAGAAAATTGCGTACCCACTGGGTCATAATCAAATAATTTAACTTGTAAATGTTATGATTTTATGATTTTAAAGGTCTTTATATAGAAAGCAATAAGTGTGCTTGGAAGTTATGCCAACATCAGATGTTAGAAGTCATCTCTATAACATTTTAAGTGAATTTATACATCAGACTGGTATCTTCATACATACAACTATTGCAAATATGGCTTTGTTTTAACGCTTCTAGTTCATATATTAGCTAAATTGTGTCAGATATATGGTTACAGATGGTACTGTTGTGACAAGAATTCTAAACTAACCATTTGAGGCAGAAAATGTGAACTTTTATTGACAAATAGGCATACAGTAAGATGTGGACTGGAGACAGGGGCAGGATTAGATAATTTATATAATCTTGAATGTTGGAATGATTGACTGCTAAACATTACATTTACTGTATTCTGAAATGCTTTCAATATGTTATCAGAACAGTTTTAAACCAGCTCTAGGCATTTTATGTCAGAAAACATGCAAATAGGGTAAGCTGGCAATAATAAAAGTCTTGTTTTCAAAGTCTCTAAAAAATTAAAACAGGAGAGGAGGTATAAAATGTACAGTAAAAGTAAAAGTAAACTCTACATATTCAGTGATTTCCTTAAGGCTATAATTCTGATAAGTGAGTATTTATGTTAGAAAAAGTGTTTTTAGAGAGTTTTCTATTTGAATAAATGTTTGTATAGGTTGCACTTTGTAAATACAGCTGTTTCTCAAACCACGCCTCTTTTGGGGAGATTTAGAATATTCATAGAAAATTAATTTTGTTTACATACTGGTTCCCACTTCTGATTTGTAGGTTGCATCTCATAGAGACATAACTTGGGAAAGTTACCAGAAAATATACATGTGAATATTGTTTATATTGAAATCTATGGTAACCCTACAGTCGAGGCAGGGATAGTTAAGAAATTTAGTGTTAGTTTAAACTCTTAGAAGTTCGGGGCATATAAACGTTGAAAATATGCCGCACAGCCCTATATTTTGACCTTTGAAAAAAATAGTAGTGCATATGAACTTTCCATTCTAGGATATGATTTTTTTCAAAACTTCATAGTAAAAGTGGTACAGTTTTAGCCATAAAGGGATTTCCTATTGGAAAATGCA